CACACAGGGGTGGAGCCAGTCTTTCTTCTTGTTTTCTCTCTTGAAGGTAAGTGAGCAGAGAAGAGACAAAAGGCCCACATCCAGATCTCAGGCCTGTTCCAGCCTGGAGAGGGAAGCAGGACACACACCCTGCTGGCCCCTCCCACGGCACATCCAGACGGTGGCTTCTGTGGCTGCAAGGACAGCAGGAGCATAACTTCACTCTGCCCAGCAGGCGAGGCAGGGACGCGTCCGTGCGCTCCAACCAGTCGGTGGTGGTGAGGTTCCCGCTACCTGCTGGGCTCCCAGCCTGATAACAGGCAGCTCACACCCCATGGGCATTGGGCAGCCACGTCCTGAGTTGCACCGGCCTGGGGGTGGGGGAGCCTTGCGTGGGTGAGCGCTGGCACCCCACTCTGTGGGTCCTCAGGGACCCCCAGAGACCCATAGTGATCCCACAGTGACCCCAACCCCACAGAGACCCTCAGAGACCTCACAGAGACCAGGACTCTATGGATACTCCACAGAGATGCCACAAAGACCCTGCAGAGAGCTGCGCTGTGAGTGGGGTGGGGCCGCACAGCCCCTCTGGCCGAGCAGAGCCACCCGAGTGGCCAGGGGCAACAGGAGCTGGCAAGAAGAAGCTAGAAATAATGATTTCAACCAACTTGCCAGAAATCAAAATAACAATAATAATCACCACACTTCTGCAGACCATGGAACCTCTTCTAACAAACAAATGTGACCAAAGACGGTAAGAAAATCCCCCCATGCAAGTGTTTCCCCCACGAACAAATGCACTTCAGAGAGGGACGGTCCAGAAGGCTGGGGCAGGACCGCCGTGCACGGCGGCCTGGGCCTGGCCGCACGGCCCTGGCCTGGGCTGCTCTAGGAGCTGAAGACAGTGGCCGCAGTGAAGGCGAACGCTCCCTTCCTGCTCTTTGTAATTTCTGGAAAGACATACACCAGATTCACAAGTATCAAAGCCCTCCCGAGCCAGACCCAGTACTCAATAGTCACGTTTCAACGTTACATTTTCCAAAATGCTCGCTTACAACTTTCCACTTAAAGGAAAACGTGGGGCTTCCCCCTGGTGACCTCTCACCTCTGGCCTCAGGACAGATACGGCGGCCCCGGTCTGGGAGGACAGAGGCCATTCCCCCACAGTCACTGTGGAACATCACCCTGCGGCCTGCGTGTCCAGTGTGCCCAGTGGGCCACACCCCCTCCTCCCCCGAGCAGGTGACACTGCCCAGCCAGGCAGAGATGGCAACTCGTCTGCTCCAGAGAGTCAGTCCCAGGCCCCAGCATGGCAGCAAACCCAAAGGCTGCTTCCAGAAGGGTCTCACTGAAACTTAGTGCTGTTTTCAGGGTTTCTAGGTGGTCAGTAAGAAACATCCATCTAACGGTCATTGATTTCCAAAAGAAAGAAAAAAATTCCAGGCCGTGCACGGTGGCTCATGCCTGTAATCCTAACACTCTGGGAGGCTGAGGCGGGCGGATTGCTCGAGGTCAGGAGTTCGAAACCAGCCTGAGCAAGAGTGAGACCCCGTCTCTCCTATAAATAGAAAAAAATTAATTGGCCAACTAATATATATATATATATATATAAATTAGCTGGGCATGGTGGCACATGCCTGTAGTCCCAGCTACTCAGGAGGCTGAGGCAGGAGGATTGCTTTAGCCCAGGAGTTTGAGGTTGCTGTGAGCTAGGCTGATGCCACGGCACTCACTCTAGCCTGGGCAACAAAGTGAGACTCTGTCTCAAAAAAAAAAAAAAAGAAAAATATTTCAAGATGTCATCCGTCGGGTGTTCTAATGTTTCCAACATAAACAGCCGAGGAACGGTTTCTTCCAGAATTCTTTCCAGCAGAAAATCTTCTCTCTGCACATAATCTTATGCCCACACATTTTTCCTTTTCGCATTAGCTACCAGGAAGCTCAGAGGGAAATTTTACAGTAATCACTCAACCCACATGATGCAAAGGAATGTATCTGCTTGTAAAAATTAATTCTGGTTCTGTTTAAAACTGTGCCTACCTCAAACGCACTTCTATAAGGAGAATTTCTAAATTCTATATAAAACTGAAACTCAGTCCCAAATGCCCCAGAGCAGAACGGAACATGGTGGACCTCTCCCTATCCCCCGTAGAATCCAGTGCCCCTATGGGGCAGGGCAGAGGTGGGCAGTCAGGAGCTTACTCCTAACATCCACTTATTAAATTGATAACATCCATCTCTGGTTATTAGAAAATCACCATCCTGCAACTATATTTCCTCCCTGTACCGTCCCTTCTGACAGAGAGGAGGCTCCTCCTTTCCTGTGCTGCGAAGCCTGACTGACCATCTCCCGACCCACAGGAGCTGTTTCCAGCCCAAAGAGAGCAGCTGCAGCACTCCGCGGGGTCTGGCCACAGAGACCTGACCAGTCTCTCAGAGAGGCTCAGTGGCAGGAGGGTTATGGACGCCTGTTCACCTGGGGCACCCAGAAACAAGGTAAGGCCACTAGAGCTGGAAAAGGCACGTCCCCATGGCTCTGTCTTGGCCACGGCTCCTCCATAGCCAGGCACCGCGAGCTCCAGGGAGGGGAGCCTTCGGCCAGCGGTGCTGGGCTCTGCGCCGATGACGGAGGGGCCTCTCTCGGAGAAGGCCGGTCTGCGGGACACAGGAGCGAGGATGTGCCAGGCTCTCCCTAGAACTACAAGGCCGGGACCCAGAGCTGCACATGCACCGTTGGGCACGAAGCCTGAGGTGTCTTAACTTTCATTTCTCACGAGATGGAACCAACTGAACAGGATCAGAGCAGCACCTCCCTGCCCGGCCTTGGGCCACCGTCAATGCCAGGGCTGTGGAAGGAGGCCTTGTCACCCCATCCCAGCCCCTGCAGGACGTAGGGTGCACCTCATGCTGCAGCTGAGCCTGCCAACAATGGGGGACACTCTCCACAGCCCCCCAACGTCATCCAGCCACAGTCTCCATGGAGTCGCCACCTCGGCCTCCTGGGAGGAGGTCCCCCAGCACCTGGGCCCCGTCCTGCAGCAACACCCCTTCACTGTGCCCCTCAGGCCCTCGCCCACCCTCGTGCTTCCTGCACAGCCCGCTGGTCGCCCTCACGGCCCCAGCCTCATGGCAGCTCCAGCCTTTGCTGCGGCCACAGACACACAGGCAGACATCCTGCCACGTGAGGACAGGCTCGGCCACTTGGGGGCCCCTGGCCCTTGCCCTGTGTGTCCACTGCTCTCAGCTGGGGAAATGCGCCCAGAACATAGCACCTGCCCACCTGACCCGCATCCACCTGAGTTGTGCCCACCAGAGCTGCCGCCCTCTCTTCCCCCTTAGCACCTATAAAGCTGTGGTCTGAGGGGCATGAGAGGCTCAGCTGCCTCCCCGGGCCCAAACCCTCCTCTGCAGGGGACCGACCACTCACCACCTACCTCTCCCTGGCAGGAGGCTTTGGGGAGACCCTCCCCAGCTGTGCCCCATGGAGCCCCTAGTCCAGCCCCTCCTGTGTCCCACACCCCTCATGGCTTCCTCCAACTGCACGCTCAGGCCCTATAAAAAACAGTCTCCCTGACCTAGCACCCTTCATCCAAACCACCTTCTAGGCCAGCACCATGGAAAACCCCACAGAGACCGCCCTCTGCCCCTTCCCATACGGGCATGGTGACTGTCCCCTCCCACAGCCAGGTGCATGGGGTCCTCCCAGCACTCGATGGGCTCATGAGACCCCTTCCCCAGACACTCTCATGGACCAGTGCACTCGAGGTGGGAGGGTGCCTCGGTCCCCGTTTCACACTGAGGGGGCACCTCAGGGTCCCCATTTCACACCGAAGGGGCATCCAGGGTCCTCGTTTCACATTGAGGGGGCATCTCAGGTCCCCATTTCACACTGAGGGGGCGCCTCAGGTCCCCATTTCACACTGAGGGGGCACCTCAGGTCCCCATTTCACACTGAGGGGGCACCTCAGGGTCCCCATTTCACGATGAGGGGGTGCCTCAGGTCACCGTTTCACACTGAGGGGCGCCTCAGGGTCCCCGTTTCACACTGAGGGGGCACCTCAGGTCCCCGTTTCACACTGAGGGGGTGCCTCAGGGTCCCTGTTTCACGCTGAGAGGGCACCTCAGGTCTCCCGTTTGACGCTGAGGGGGCACCTCAGGGTCCCCGTTTCACACTGAGGGGGCACCTCAGGGTCCCCGTTTCACGATGAGGGGGCGCCTCAGGGTCCCCATTTGACGCTGAGGGGGTGCCTCAGGTCCCCGTTTCACGCTGAGGGGGTGCCTCAGGTCCCCGTTTCACGCTGAGGGGGTGCCTCAGGTCCCCGTTTCACGCTGAGGGAGTGCCTCAAGGTCCCCGTTTCACGCTGAGGGGGTGCCTCAAGGTCCCCGTTTGATGCTGAGGGGGTGCCTCAAGTCCCTATTTCACGCTGAGGGGGTGCCTCAGGTCCCTGTTTCACGCTGAGGGGGTGTCTCAGTCTCTGTTTCATACCAATAGGGTGACTCAGGGTCCCTGTTTCACACTAAGGGGGCATCTCAGAGTCCCCGCTTCACACTGAGGGGGGGTGTCTCAGGGTCCCCATTTCACACCAAGGGGGTGACTCAGGGTCCCCATTTCATGCCGAGGGGGCGACTCAGGGTCCCCGTTTCATGCCAAGGGGGCTCCTTGGGGTTCCCATTTCACGCTGAGGGGGAACCTCGGGTCTCTGTTTCACACTGAAGGGGTGTCTCAGGGTCCCCATTTCACTGAGGGGGTGCCTCATGGTTCCCGTTTGAGGTCCCCCATCTGAGGAGACACCAGGGGTCTTGGTCGCCTGGGGCTGGGCCAGGACCAGTGAGGGCTCCGCCCTATCCACGCACCTGAAAATCCCCCTCGCGGCACTGAGGCCCCCCCACTGCCCACAGCCCCACCAGAGGGGCGCCTCATTTTGCTGGTCAGATGGTGAAGGAAACACTACCCGGAGGTGCCTGCTGCTTAGGGACGCCGGAGCCTGGTCTCCAACCATGCACCACCCCGTCCGACTCACCTGGCCTGGAGCAGCCGGTAGTCCCCCGGCGCCTCCGGGGCAGTGACCAGAGCCGACGCAGGGTCCCCCGAGAGGCGCCCTTCTCGGCCATCGTAGTGCCTGTCACAGGGTTGCTTCAGGGCAAAAGCGGCTCAGGTTCTTCAGGCCGAGTTCGACTCCCCCGATGCCGCAGCCACGCAGCTCCCCAGGCGGGCCTGCGTTGTCCCAAGAAATGGGCACTCAAGTCTCGGTGACCCTGGGCTTCACCAAGTCCCAAGAAAGAATTTAGGAGGATTCAGCCACCTCCGTGACGTCCTCCGGCCGTCCTTTCCCAGGCCTGGCCTCCCGCAGCCTGGCCGAGGCCCCCAGCCCACAGAGCAGAGCCGCAGAAACGTCGTGTGACAGACAGACGGAGACTGGGCAGAATGCATCTGTGTCCCTGTGTGTGTTCTAGGCGTTTCCTTCCTCGGGGGTGGCGGCCTGAGGGGCTGAGTGCCCAGTGTCACGGAGCTGCTCCGCAGGGCAAGCCAGAAACACCTTCCAGGCTCAGGAAGTCTCAAGTTCAAACAAACAACTACAAACCAGGAGGAAGGGGGGAGGTGGCCGCCGGCTTCTGGAGACAAGCCGGGAAGTCCCGCCGTCCGTCCGCTGTCGACTCCGGGCGGGGAGGAAGCGATAAGGCTGCTTGGCTTGGCGGCCAGTTTCCACAGGCGGAGCCAGCCCCGCACCCTCGGGCCGCGGCCTTCCTGGGAAGTGGAGTGACGCCGGGGCCCCCCGTGACCCCGAGGGGAGGTGCTGCCCACGGGCTCGGAGCAGAGCAGCCGCGACATCGCCTTGTCACGGTCACCGTGGTCGCGGTCTTCGTGTGCTGGGCGCCAGGGCGCCGGCCCTCACACCGCATGCGCAAGGCGGGTCCGCGCAGTGCCGCTGTCACGGTCATCACCACGCGCTCTGGCCAGCGAGCGCGCATGCGCGCAGGACCGGCGCTCACGCCTGTGGCCGACCCCTCGGTGAGCCCGCGAGATCAGCGCATGCGCATCCGGTCGGCTGCAAACGACGCATTTATCTAGCGTCACTTGCCCAGTCACGTGAGCCCGCACAGGCGCCGACAGCGACGGAAGAGGCCCCGCCACCGACGTGTGTCCTCCCGCTGGAGTGAGACGAGGGGACGGGCGGCAGCGCGGGTGTCCGCTCGGCCTCCCCGGACTCGGGGTCCACTCGGAGTTTCTTCTGTGAGATTTGCACTTCTGGGCGCTACAGGCGTCGAGAGCGCGCTTCCGCCAGAGGAGACAGAGCTCCCCGCACGTTGCTCTCCCGCCATGCACACACCGGCTGTTACCTGACGACGCGACAGGCGGCCCCCTGAGAAGGCAGAGGTGACACTTCTCCGTGCTGCACCCCGCGAGAGGGCCAGGAGGACAACAGCGTGAGGGCCTCCAAGTCTCGGCCACGCAGAAGCAGGGTCCAGCGCGACGGCGTGTCTCCGGGGCCTGTGTGTTCACGCCTGCTTGTTCCTGCCGTGCCCCAGCCCAGACAGACCAGTCCCAACCCGGAGTCCCGCACGACCCGAGGAAACAGACGCCACGTCTGACGCGGAGCTTCCAGACTCGAGCCTCGTCCAGTGACCCAGGAACCGAGCCTATGCACCTGGCCCTGCCCGCACTGGCTCGTGGAGAAACACGAAACAGGACTTTTACCTGCCCGCCAGCAGCCCTCGAGTAGTTCATTAGAGACCGCACTGACCCAGGTCTCTGGAGCCAGCAACAGACATTTGTCCTTCCCACATGACGAGGTGCACAAGGAAGTTCATGAAAATCTGGAACGTCAGGGCCATTTACTGAGCAGCTAAGAGCACAGCACACATGCACACACGTTGACACATGCACTGTGCACACACACACAGATATACACATGTACACACAAGTAGACACGCACCGTGCACACACAGGCACATGCGCACATACAGACACACGTACACACACAGAGACCCACAGACAGTTCATTAATCTATACATTATTTCCATCAAGTGGAGCTTAATTCAGTTGTTCCTAAATATCTAAACATGGTTTAAAGATATCACCAATTTAAACCTTTTTTAAAAAATCGAATCTAAGATCTGAGCCTCACTCACAATCTGCTAATTTCTTATACATGGTGCAGCCTTCGCGCTGAGGGACAATGTGAACACCCACCATGGTGTCCGGCAGTTGGGCAGTCTCCCTGAGCTCCAGCAGCTCCCATGAAAAATATCAAAAACCACCTGAGAGCCAAGCTGCTCATGCCGATGGCCACAGCAGAGCTCCTGAGCACCGCGTTGGGAGGCCCCAGGGGTGGCCGGACCCCTGGGTAGTGTGGTGCTTCTCCGAACCCCAAGAGTGTGTCTTATGCGGCCTAAGCCATTGTGGAGAAATTCACACCAGCAAGTGGTGTCAGCTTTGGCAGAAGAGTCTCAGCCACGCCAGCACTATCTGCGCAGGTCTTACGTCAAACGAAATGCTGGGCAACTTTAAACCCAGCCCTTCTGGGGATGGGATGGGCCGGGGCTGCCACCGTGGGACTGGCGGTGGAGCCACTGTGTCCATGTGAGGGCGTGGGCTCCAGGCTGGCCAAGGCGTCTGAGGAACCTGGAGAGACAGGGTGGCCACACGGCACACCAGCCTCGGGTGATGCTGGCGCCACTCCAGGAGCCCAGGCCCCATGAGTCTGTGGCCTGTGTCGGCGAGTGGCCAGTGGAGCCGTGCTGCCCACCATGTCTAGACTGTGCCACATCCAAGCAGGAACGCCTCCTATCATTTTTGATGACAGTTTGCTCCATCTAACACCAGAGAAAGCTGGGGCCAGCCAGCCCGCAAGAAGCCAAAGTTCTAAAATTCTGAGGCTCTGTAACCTAGGAATAGAATCCTCCAGAAAGATGCTAGGTGTTCACAGAGTCCAGAACTTGTTACTCCTAAAATGAGCCTTTTATTTATTTTATTTTTTTACTTTAGCATATTATGGGGGTACAAGTGTTAAGGTTATATATATTGCCCATGCCCCACTCCCCCCTCGAGTAAGAGCTTCAAGCGTGCCCATCCCCCAAACGTTGCACATCTTACTTCTTGTGATTGTATATACCCATCCCTTCCTCCCCTCTCCCACCCTCCCGACACCCGATAAATGTTACTCATATATGTCCACTTAGGTGTTGATCCGTTAATACCAATTTGCTAGTGAGTACATGTGGTGCTGGTTTTTCCATTCTTGAGATACTTCACTTAGTAGAATGGGTTCCAGCTCTATCCAGGAATATACAAGAGGTGCTATTATCACCATTGTTTCTTAAAGCTGAATAGTACTCCATGGTATATATATACCACATTTTATTAATCCACTCATGAATTGATGGGCACTTGGATTGTTTCCACAGCTTTGCAATTGTGAATTGTGCTGCTATAAACATTCGAGTGCATGTGTCTTTTTCATAAAGTGACTTTTGATCTTTTGGGTAGATGCCCAGTAGTGGAATTGCTGGATCAAACGGCAGATCTACTTGTATCGCTTTGAGGTATCTCCATATTGCTTTCCACAGAGGTTGAACTAGTTTGCAGTCCCACCATCAGTGTAGGAGTGTTCCTCTCTCTCCACATCCACCCCAGCATTTGTTGTTTGGGGACTTTTTGATAAAGGCCTAAAATGAGCCTTTTAAATGATACCCTTAACTTTCTAAAATAAAGGCCACCCCACACCGACCAACCAAGGCAACCCCAGAGCTTGTGCCCAAGTCACACAGGCTCAGAAGTCTCTGGAAGCACAGGTGCCAGCCACACGGCAACACCAGGCCTTTCTGCGCTGACCTGTGAGACACAGGGCGGGCATGGCTGGGCCAGGTGTTTCGGGAAGGAACCAACATGCGGCTCATGAAATGCCCCCTCCGCTCTGTGCTGGGTGCTAACACTTGTCATGCCAAGCGATGGCTGGTGTCTGAGAGACATTCCCGGGAGGCTCCCACTGCCGCCGTCCTCTGGAGCGGGCCTGCCTCTTCCTGCCGCTCACTTGCACAGGGCCACACCTGCCCCCAGGTGCGTTGGGGAACACATGCAATGTGCACCGCACCACGCCTGCCAGCACCACCAACTGCATTTCAGAATAGAAAACACAAATGTTTTTCTTTTGGAACTGGCAGAAGGATAAAATTTAACTCATTCACACAGACAGCCAACAACAGCCCTCTTTTGCCCCCATTTAAACATCAAAACAGCGGATTCTTCCTTTTAAGGATTCAGAAATCAAAGCACTTTTTAAAAGCTTCCTCTTCAAAGATAAAGCACTCTTACAAAAATGAAGTCCTGTCTGGGGCATTATTAGTTTACCTTCCCTGATATTGTGCCAGAATGTCGTCAATGAAACTTAACGCAATTAACAGTCCTTTCCTTTAGCGAGTTAAGTAGCACAACTGTGCGGTGTGAGCGTGATTTTGTGAGATCGGCTTTTATGATTTGGGGACTGGTCTCACTTCTCTAACACCTGCCCCCAGGTGCATTATAAAGGAGCAAAGAAAACACACATTTCAGATGCACAAAGGCCACTGTCAGCTCTTTTGTATTTTCAAACTTACAGCTTTGGCTTTTCCTAAGCTTCTCCTCCTCCCAAAACCTTGACTCCCTCAGCACGTGGCCTCTTCTGGGACTCACGCTGGACGCAGGGGAGACGGCGCCTGCTCTGCAGAGCGCCACGGAGAGCGGCCCAGACATGGCCCCTTCCCTCTGGGCCGCACCCCTGCAGGGGGGGGGTCCTCCTTTTCCCACTCACCTGGGACATCCCTACTGGGACTTCGGGATAAGAACACAGCTAACAGTGCACAGTGGCAGTAACAGCCGTGTGGTACGATGGCGCCTGAGCGCGGAAGACACGGCATCCACACGCCAGGAGAGAGGCCTCAGGAGGAACCAGCCCTGCGACACGCCGGCCTGAAGCTTCGGGCTGCAGGACTAGGACGAAATGAGCCACTGAGTCTGCAGTGTGGCGTCACCGACACTGTCCCAGCCCTGTTGCTCTCGCACCCCGGCCCCGCCCAGACCAGCCTGGCCTCCTGCTGTGCCAGGGACACGCCGACCTCACACACAGCCCGGCACACACAGACGCCACGCGAGCTTGTCGGGCAGGAGAATCCAGCACCGGCAACATCCTCGCCCTCTGCCTTTTCCTTTTTCAGCCCGTCACCCCAACTTTGCTGCAGATGAGTGTCTCCCAGGCAGCTCAGCTCAGAGGTTCCAGGACAGACGGGGAAACACGCTGCTTCTCCTCTGCTCCCCCACGACGACCGACATGAAGGCTGCGACCACTGTCACCAAGGAGCGTGGGGACGTCCCGCCAACCCCACCACTCCTTGCCGTGGCAGACGCCAGCGGGGGGGTCTCCCCTCTGGGCTCCATCCCGGCACTGGCCACTGGAGACGGCGGCAGGTCCCCCAGGGTGAGGGCCCAGGATGCCCCCACTTCTGATGCCGATCTTGAGCTCCAGGCTGTCCACTGGGCTTCTGACCAGGGGCTATAAACTGAGCTCCCGGACTCCTCGGGGGCTGGGACACTGTGCTGGAGCTGCTCGCAGAGCCCAGGGAAGCACTTACTTGCATGCGGCTTATTACAAAAGATGTTGTAAGGCACAGAGACGAGGAGGTGCGCAGGGAAGGTGTGGGGAAGGGGCACAGAGCTCCCCTGCCCTCCCCGGGCGCCACCCTCCAGGAACCTCCTTGTGTTCGGCTATTCCGGAAGCTCCAGACCCCTGCCCTTCTGTGTTTTTATGGAGGCGTCATTATGCAGTCAGGATGGATTAAACCGTTGGCCGTTGGTGATGAACTCAGCCTGCAGCCCATCTGCCCTCCGTGGAGGCTGGGGTTGGGGCTAGAAGTCCTGACCCTCTGATCCT